TTAAACAAATTAATACTAATTTGTTTAACTGAACTGTTTTTCATATAAGATAGTTCCTTTTTAAAAAAAAAATTTTTCGAAAGATTTTTATTTTTTGAGCAATCTAAATTAAAAATAAAAGATAATTAGCTTATGATCCAGTTTTTTCCCCTTTTTAAAAAAAATTTAATTTGACTTCTTGATGTGTATAAGAAAAACGCTCCAGTGGGGCAGTCGGTTAGAGCAGCGTTGGTCACACCATAAGAGAAGTGGGTCACGAGCCTGATTGTAGCTGCGACTAAACAGCCGCAGCATGCTTACGCAGCAAGATGTGCGTTAAATCTGCAGCTACTGAAAGTCCACTCATTCTATACACAGAACAAAATAAAAATGCGTTTATATTTCCCTGTATGTCTATCTACGTGAGCAAACGGCGTTACTGGCTGCAAGGTGCGGCGCTATTTGACCCTCTCAGTAGAGCGAGTTTGACCTCCTGTACTTCAACTATAGGACTTTTCCCTTTAATAGTAGTATTTATTGTCAGCAAAATAAGGTTAAATCTTATATAATTAAATAATATAAAACATTTAAAACAACTTTTATGAGTAGACCCAAAAAGAGTTGAAATTTCGATTTGCGATAAAAATAGTAATGAATTGTGCTTGTACTATTAAGAAAACTATTCTAACTTGTATTGGAAACGACGCAGTTGAAATTTGAGGTTTCTAGCTTATTGGAAAATGGTCAAAATTTCAACATGACGATAAATACAGAATGCTGACTCATATTAAATGCAAAATTTTCTGTGAACACAAAATCTTAATTAAAAAATTTTCTTCAAGCAATTGATTAACTCTTGTAACTAGTTTCAACCCTCTCGTTGTCACCTGATTCTTGGCGAAATTTTTTTGAAAATCACTGATTTTTTTAAAAACAATCTTTAATTTTTATTGAACTCTACATTGATTCATACCACAGGGATGAGTTTGGTAGAAAACTAAAAAATCTTAAAATATAAATCCAAAAATGTTAAATGCAAAAGCACTTTTGAAATACATAATTAAAAAAATATCTGAAACTTCAGCAAAGTGTATGTAGGACCACTTATCCTCAATGTTATTTACTTTTTAATAATAAATATCGATGCGAGATTTGATTAATTTATTTAAATTGGGTAAATTTGAATCTCAGTGAGTGATTATTAAATCACACGAATACGAATCTCGACATTTAATTTTAAAACATCGTGAATACGAATCTCGATGCTTGATTTTAAAATCGGCGTGAATAAGAATCTCTAAGTATAATTTTGAAGTCACTTGAGCACGAATCATAAATGTGACTTTCAAATCGTGTAAATACGAAACCTGTTATATTTGATATAAAGTCATGAAAATATGAAACACGACGCGTAATCTTAAATCGCATAAATAGGAATCGCAATGTATGATTTTAAATCATGTGAATGCAATTTTAAATCGCCTTTGCATTGGCAATGAAAAAGCGTAAAAATGAATAATTTCTTTTCTTTTGGAAATCGAAAAGGTCAAACTACTTTTTTTAAATTTTTTTGGATAGGCGAATCTTTTCCCTTTCTTATTAACAGTAAAAAATATTCTGCAATGATGACAAATTTTCCGTAAACGGCGTTGACTCGTTCGTGTATATTATACGGGTCAGTCTGATTGCTTTAGCAGGTCAGAAAGTGGTCGAAAATACCGCCCGCATAGACACGAAAACGAGTTATTAAATACGCAGTAAAATAAATTAATTTCAAAATCCACAGTAAAAATATCCTACGATTTATCATTAAACATTTCGTTTATATGACTGCCAATCATATTATTTCTTCCGTTTCGCAGGAAACGTAATTTCTGTGGTTAAATTTGTTTCTCTTTTCTCCTTTCAAGTTCAGAAAAAATTGTAGTGAACAACTTCTCTGACACTTTCCACAAATCAATGGTAGTGAGAATAGAAATGACCATCCATTATTATGATAGTCCTTGAAGTTTCGGAAGAAGTTTAAGTTAATGGCAGCACTCACGGAAGCCAATCTGAACTTGTAACTTCCACACAATTATATTTATGAAGTCTATTTCTTAACCATTATTTCATTGTCATTTTTTTTTTGTCATTGAAACTTGTATTTTCAATTTAGTTCATTGTTATTACATGACAAGGAATTGGTTCAATTTCAATATTAGTTTAATATTAATACAGCACGTAATTCCAAGTGTAGTTATTTTCATTCTAAAAAACGGTAGGAGTCCTTTAAAAAAAAAGAAAGAACATTCTTGTTCTTAATTCTTATTCTTGATTCAAACTGAATTATTGAATATATATTTATATACATATAGTATATTATTTGACAGCTTATTTGAGCCTTCTGAGGGAAATTCTGATTTTCTTTTTAACCAAGTATTAACAGTGAAATCGGCATAATAATAATAATAAATAAAATGCTTGATGCATAAACACTTTTAAAAATTTCAAACTTAATACTGTTCAATTTATGTTTTACTCTTACTAAATTGTTATATAAATATATATAAAGCTTACAACTATTTTATCTGGGTTGTTTGATATCGAATATGCTTTCGAATTAAGAGTAAATAATTAATTTTAATGTTGAAAAAGTGCCGGATACTGTGCTTATAACTCAAGGTGAACCTAAGCCGTAGGTCATAGGCATAAGACATAGGCATTTAGGCAATATACTCACCTAAGGCAGCTGGTTTGATATCCAATATGCTTTCGAATTAAGAGTAAATAATTAATTTTAATGTTGTAAAAGTGCCGGATACTGTGCTTATAACTCAAGGTGAACCTAAAGCCATAGCTAATAGGCATGAGACATAGGCATTTAGGCAACATACTCACCTAAGGCAGTAAATTCAAATGATATTTTAAACTATGACTTCTGAAATAATTAAAGGAAGAAGTAATGAAAAGAAAAAAGTATAGGGGGGGGGGTAAATACGAAATCTCGGAGTGGTGAATCATAATATTATAATTTTGAAGCGAATTCAGAAGCTTAAAGAAACTAATCTAAGAATCAAAGAAAATTAATTTTGCGAAAATCTGACTAAGAGTACTCAACAGTCACTCATGAGAAATATTCAGTGCAATGTTTATTGTCGTATACAGTGTAGGACTGGCCACATTCAGATAAGTTTATTGGATTCGAATCTGAGTAATCTGTTTGAGCCAATATATATCATCCCCCATTACTTATAGGGGGGTTTGGATGTTGAAAATTCCTGCTTATATCCAGTTTAAAAAAATTACTCAATTGAACAACAAGGGGCACCGTCAAGTTATATTTTTGGGAGGGAGAAATTCCCATTTTGTCGAATGAAATTTCGAAATTGACCAAATCATTAAAAAGTATGTAATTCATTAGTTTAAATTTAAAAAAAAATATTTTGTTGTTAATATTTTCACAATATGTAAATTTTTCAACAAATATATTACTGATTTAACGGCTTCATATTTAATTATTTAGTCACTGAGCTGCGATTAGTCAATTGGTAAGGCATTGAGCTACTGGTTCAATTCCCAACGGCGGCTTGAAGCCGATCCATGGGTACCAGTTTGTCTAGGAAGTAAAGGCCGCCTCTGCGCAATGCTTATCACAATGTCACAAACAGCGATTGCCACATTCTGGAACCCTATCCTCTTTGAACTCCCTGGCACGCAGAAGGCTGTAATTTTAATTCTAGTCACTAAATAAAATAAATCTTGAACCGTTTGATAAATAAATAGTAAAACAGATAGGAAGATAATCGAGAAATCTCGTCGAAAACCGGATAGAAATAAAACAAGCATTCTGAGAATGATACTTTAAAATGAAAATATAGAAAATATAGACATGAAAATTTAAAAAAAAGAATAAAAAATAAATTGTTATAAAAAGTTTACTGAACCTATTTAAAATACTTTTATTTGTGGAATTTAAAAAGTGAACAATAATAAAGTAGATACGAATATAGTAAACGTGACTTTTTGCCTAATATTAATTATGCCGCGACTTAAAAATTAATAATAATTTAATAAATTGAGAAAAGGAATATAAACAGATGAAATATAAAAATGATTATTTTAAAATTACTATTGATAATCCTTAGTTTGAATTAATTTTTACTTTTTTTTTCTTGTATCATAGAAGGATTTTTGTTAAGAGCTCATTCTCTGAGTTTTATTTAATACCCTAATTTTTATATCGATATTTTTTTTAAATTTAATTTTAATTACATTAGAAGCTCCTCCCGCTGCTATTTATTTCTCCCCAATCGTAAGAGCTTTAAATTCTTTTATTAAACATAAATTAGAAATTTAAACGAAATAAAAGAGCTTTCTTCATAACTTACTTTGTGTTTTCTAATTTTGCGTAAATATGCCAAATTGTCAAGCAAAATTTTCCGAATAGTAAAAATGCTTCGATAAAAAAAAAAAAAAAANAAAAAAAAAAAAAAAAAAAAAAAAAAAAAAAAAAAAAAAAAAAAAAAAAAACGCATGCGTGGTCGCTAGGACCTCTCTCATCCCGGCGCCCTTGTGAACAATTATCCCACACTATCAACAACCCCGTTCACAGTTTTTGTTAAAATCCAATTAAGAGCAGTGATGGCTCATAGGATAGGGCGTTCGCCTTCCAATGAGGTGAACCGGGTTCGAATCCCAGCGATGGCTGGTCGATACGAATTCCGCATCCGGCTCGCACTGACCAAAGTGGTGACTTGAAATATCATGAGTTAGAGTCCCCTTGCCGTCAGGCTAACCGTGGGATGTTCTCGTGGTCTACCTCTCCATGTACCGCAAATGCGGTTAGTTCCCTCAAAAAGTCCTTCACGAAGGCAATTTTCTCCCAATACTTGATCCAGGAGTTCCCTTGTCTTCTGGATTGGGTTCACAATTACAAGGCTACGGAGTTGAACATTAGTACTTATTTAATTCCTTTCTTTTTTTAATTTTCATTAACTTAAAAATTATTTTTGTTAAAAGGCTTGTCATTATTTTTACAGACATGGACCAATCCTTGCTGCACAGACTCAAATGGAAACACCGCTCTCATGTACGCTGCTGCTCATGGTCACCACGAAATTATAGCAGTTTTCCTATCTGTCTTCCGCAATGATATCAAGAGTCTCCAATTACATAAGCGCAACAATGATGGTTTCACAGCATTGCATTTAGCAGTCCGCAATAGATACGATGCATGTGCCAGACTTTTAACGAAAGAGGGACAGCTGTTTCCAACAGCCATAGATGAGTTTCCTGATCCAAAAGATTTAGATCGCGATCCAACCCCAACTGAACTTGAATTAGAGGCCGATAAGAACACAAATATAATAAGCACTCAATCCGAAAAGATTTTGTGGGCAAGACCTGACAGTAAACGTACAACCGGCACTATGACGATAGAACCAGAAGATTTAGAATTTTTAAGTAATAGTTTAAGTGTTTTGGAGTGTAGTGTTGGTGATATTCCAATTTATAATTACACTCATCCTTTTGGACTCCAAACTAACAAGTACACCCAGGTCATATCAATAGGTCAAAGAAAGACTCCAGAAGAAACAGAAACTAAAACAGAGCAAAAGAACATGCAAGATTTGCTTGAAGATTTACAAATTTCGCCAAGGATCGACGAATGGCCAACTGTTCCAATTCAACTGAAGCCAGTTTCTCACAAGATCCTCCAGCCTCTTTTGCCAATAGAAATTACAAACAGTCATACTTCAAATGTTAACACTTTTCAACGAAAATGTCTCTTGAAGCAAAGTCATCGCGGTACATCAGGATTGCGAATCAAACTCCACGATTCTAGAAATGCCATATCTACGGAAGAGTTGGATCATATGATTATGGGATCTTCTCTCAAGTCTTATCATGCAAATCTAAGAACGAAACAAGCGAGCGCCAAAAAGAAAGATAACATCGCCAACCTGTTGCCTTTAATTCCATGTCAAGAAAATTCCTCACTTCCTCCGGTTAAATACTCAATCAAACGTAGTGCAAGTTCGAAAAAGAATTCTTTCTTTCAATCGACTCCATTTATTGCGGTTAGAGCAGATCAAACTCCTAGAGACCTAGAAATATTCAAGAAAAATATTGAAGCGATGTGATTTAAAGATGATAAAGTACGAAAGATTCGAAGAAAGTATCGAAGATTCGTTTTATTAAAATGGGTTCCAATTCTCTCGACCTCTGAATAGTGATGCCAGTGGCGCACTCAGAAAATATTCTAAGGGGTGGGGGGTAAAATTAATAATCTTAGTTTAATTTTTCAGGAATGTTGAACAATGAATTATTTTAAATAATATAATAAGAGCCATGGTGGATCAGGGGATAGAGCATCACCTTCCAGTAAGGCAATTGGATTTTTGGATTTTCTCGCTCTAGGACTCAATGGTTCAAAGAGGTAACCTCAAATATGCAAATTAATCTGTGCTAGTTACGTTACTATATTTTAAGTTACGAAATCAGTCACCAAAACGTACTTCTTCTGAATGAATATACCTTTTTTTGGTCGAATTCCTTAATCTCAAAATATATTGGGTAGCTGCAATCTGAGAAATATGGTACCTATAGCTTGGTCAGGAGGGTGATCCAAGGATTGATCCCTTCAAAGGCAATTTTTCTTTGCATTTAAGGGATCAATCCTTTACCTTTCTTACGCATAAAGGCTTAATTTCGAGAATTTCTGCATACAATTATAAAAATCGCTTATTCAAAAGAAAATTCCAATCAAAAAAATAATTTTTAATAATTATTTTTTTCATTTTATTTAATAATAGTCGATCCTGTGCCTGTTCAATTACAACAAAGAAGTCTTCCTCCTATCTCTACAAAGTATTTCCAAAAGAGTTTGTTTTCCTCTCTTCAAAAAAAAAAAAAAAAAAAAAAAAAAGGGATTTAAGAAAGTAAAAAAAAAGTCGCCTGTCGAACTGTTTTGATAATATGTTCTGTTTGAAAATCATTTACTCAATAAGAAAGAATACTTCTTAGGCTCTGAAAATAAAGTTAATTTTAAGGTCTTTTTTTATAGATGAATTTCAAATAATTGAATTAATCAAAAAGAAAAATTTCTTGCTTACGGTTTCTGGGGGGGGGGGTAATAAACATTCCGTTATGCTTGTGCCCCCCTTCCCACATTCATTTCTTTAAATTAAATATTTATAATGAGTCAATTTTGATTTGTAAATAGTATGAAAGACCCCGTATTTAAGATAAATAATACATAAATAATTTTACTCAGTACTCATTTTTTAAAAATTTACATTTAAAATGAAAGGTGTATTGTTATTAACAAATTTGGTGAGTTTACGATCGTAATTTAATATATTCGCGTAGCAATCTTTATATGCATTTTATTGTGCAGAGTCCCACAGTGGACTGATCGTAAAGACACGGTTCTCAGTAGAACTCTGAATTCAAGTATCACTGGCTGCGGTCAGTAAGCAAGTGGCTGACCACTCTGATCAACCTGCATAGGGACCGAGGGTGCTCTGTATCAACCCTCTTTTAACTGTTCTACCGTAAAGTGCTCGACTTCGAGGGCAAGTTTTCGAGCTTCCGTAGCGGGGGTGCCTTCCTCTCCACAGAGAATCAAAATTGTGATAATATATCTCCGGATGATCCTCAAGGGTGTTTCCCAGACCGTCGCCAATAGCCCATTGTGCAGCTCTATTGTGACGTAAATAAATTACAACAACAACATTGTGCATGAAGCTGATCGTTACGTTCGAAATCATTTAACGAATCTCTTTAACCGCAATAATAATATTAATAATGATAATAAGGTAATATCGTAGAATTACGTTAATAAAGAAAAAACTCTTAGTTTAGGGAATAATAAAAGTAAAAACGTAATAATAGCAGAGTAAAATTAAAAAAATAAATAGTACTGTTAGATAGGGTGACTTTGTGCAAACTGTTAATTATTAAATAACTGACATTATAATAATTAAAAACAAAAAATTATGCATGATTTGCTATCTCAATTGATAAGACTGTTAAAGTATATCTACCTTCCTGGCCAGGATAAATAGAACTTCCTCAACCGAGCAGACTTTCCAGCCTCCGAGTTTGTAACTTGAGCTTACAATTGGGTATAATATAGCCTACGTCACAGGTTGTGTTGTTCCTACTAAATTTAACCCATGAACGGCATTTTCTGCGAGCCTAACTTCAAGCCACAAATAAACAAACGAAGTGTTCGATCGTTTAAATAGTTGCTCGCCAGATTTTATTGCATTATAAAGAAAAGTTATTGAAACTAAATACAACTAAATAAACAGCAACAACTAAAACAAATAACAACAACTACTAATAACAATAACTAAATAAACAACAACTAAATTCCATTCGTTTAGCATTGCGTCATATGTTGTTCCTACTAAATCGAAGTAGTTGTGTTTTTTTCATATTATACCCAATTTTTCAAGAACGATGATGTTTACATTGCCAGTTCTTGGTAAACCATTAGTTCGTTATGTTGACAATTCAAATCAGTTGATACCGAGCTTAAAAAAAAATACCCCTTGATGGCACGACGCAAAAATTTAAAAAAATGACAGTTTGCACTAAGTCACCCCTCGTTGCACAAAGTCACCCCATCTGACGGTACAGGTAAATAAATATCTTTAAATATCGAATGCAAAAATATTTTACAGGATCACAGTAAGAAAACGACTTTTATTAATTTTATGATGATGGCAACCAAAAAACATGGAATTTAATGTGGGAAAACTGGATCCTACCATGTGATTTTGCGGCCAATAAAAGTCATAACTGCGACAACATCATAAGATTTTATATATAGTTAGACTGTTTTACTCTCAAACTCATATAACTGTTTTCTTGTATCTCCTACTTCATATGAGATTTGAACACTTTCAGAAATTAAGCGACAAGATGACGATACGTGTTACTCAATCAAGTCAACTGACAGTCACTTTATTATACATAGACGCAACTTCCATTAATGCAATTTTTATTATTGGAAAATGAAGACCTTATCAACAAGATCTTGGTCTCACTAAGACTCAATAATGTCTTAAAAGACCTCCAAGGACACACACTGGGCTAAAATTAGGATGTACAGACTTTGCACTAACGGACAATTAACTTTTTAGATTTAATCTTGATTTAAGATTTGATATAGGCTGAATAATAAATAGAAAAATGGATAAATCTCTATTGGCTCAATCAAGATTCTAGAAAATTGGAACTCCAACCGCCCGAGTCAAATTGCAATGGGGGGGGGATATTGCTTTTTAGTAGGTACTTTGCATATCTGTAGACATCTATTGTAAAATTAATGTTACAATTAACAGTATCATGTGCAAGAAGCATTTACAATTTGGGATTCAGTGGATTACGCAGACAGAGCAGTATTACCATTCAGAATATTTTCAATGCCAGGTATTTTTCTTTCTATTCTTAACAATTTTGAAAATTGTTTGATTCTGTCTTTAAATAGACTTAAGATAAAAATACATTTTGCAATTTAACTACTTATGAAGAAATTATACTCCAATTGAATAAATTGTTTATAGCTTTGCTTACTGAGATGTTTTGTACAATAAAGCATTTTTGTTTATTTATGGTTTTCTTTCTCGCTTAAATTCAGCATTAAAATACCAAATATATTTTTCAGTTATTTCGACCTAAAATAATACAAAATAATGAAAAAAGTATGAAAATATTTTTAATTAAAATTATGCGTCAAAGGGTTAAAAATTAGCTTAATAAAATATAAAGTTCAGTTAGCTTCATGATATATAGTTGGATATAGTCATGATATAAGCATAGTAAATAGTTGGAATGTGGATAAGGACAGAAAACAAAAAGTATGACAGCTAAGATTTTGTTTTGCTGCACTCTTATCACATTGAGAATAGAACTATGTCTAGAAGAAAAGGAGCTACTAGTTAATGCTATCCTTCGTAACTTTTAACCTCGTTGTCCATATAACGCATTTATGAGCTTATTATTATGCTTAAATTTTCCTTCTGATTTGCCTTTAGCAAAGCAAAGACGCTGTTTACCTTTTTCATTGCGATATACAGGATTATGTGCTAATGAATGCATTTTTATTGAAAAAATTCACATTTAGAAGTTAAGGAAAATAACAAAAAGAATCGTCTTTCTTTTATCCGTACTTTGTTTGTAGTATGCTTATTTATAAAGGGTGAAGTAACCAAGAAATTTGAACCAATTGAAAATTGAATTTATTAATGAAAAAAAAAAGAATGGAATAAAAATTAAAAATTCTCTTAATTTTTTAAAACAAATTTTCTTTTTTGGTTCCCAACTCTCAATGAATAAACATAATTTTTTTGTAAAAGAGGTTTTTTAATAGTTCATATTCTCTGCTGCAATTGATAAAGGCTTTTTTTTTTAAATAATCTTCAATGACGATAATTTAATTTAAAAAAGCTTAAATAAATATACTGTATAAATATTCCCCCCCCCCTTTTAATGAAAAAAAAAGTTGTAGAGTATCTAAAATTTTCAATTTTTTCATTAACCCTTTGATGCAGAATTTTTATTAAATATATTTTTCATTATTTTAGGTCGAATTAAGTAAAAAATATTACATTTAGAATTTTAATAATTTATGATTATATGAAATACAGCACACTTGAAATACACCTGTATTAAAGGTAAATTCTTCCAAATTTTACTAGTTCAGTTCCAAATAGTAATTAGTTAAATTTGCACTTATTTGCAGTCGTTTAGACCAGAAAGAGAAACAGTAATTCACTATTAAAACTTCTTTAATTTACAAGATCGACTATTGATAAATTTGTAATATGAATGGAAAAAAAAATTCAAATTATTTTTTTTGGATTTTATATTTTAGTATAAATATACTAAAAGAATAATCTATATAATCTAACAGAATTTTTTCAAATTATTATTGGACTATATGACTATATTTTATTATTAATCCTTTGACGGTCAGGGAAATGAGCAATTTTTGCTTCATTAACTCGCGCAGTATTACAAGCAAACAGTAGTCGAAAGTGGCAGCTGTTTTCCTTTATGAAGCATTTAAATGCAGTAATTACCTAAATACTCTGAACAAAGTCTACATCAGACTCAAAACCTGATAAGCTTTCTGTATCACAAA